CCGGGCGGGGGCGGCCTCGCTGCGGGACCCCGACCCGCCGGGAGAGGGGCGGCGGCGGCACCGGGCGGCGGGAGCCCTTGCCCGTCCTGCCGTGTGTTTCGAGCTGTCGGATGAAACAAAAAGCCCCCTTTCCGCTCCTCCATCGGAGGGGCTTTTTAGTCTCTTTCCGGTGAGGTGCGAACCCGTCTTCGAGGTTGAATTTTAAAAGAACAATGGAGCCCTGACTACATTGAAACAAAAATATAACTTGTCCCCCCCCCATTGGGTGTTGGCTTTTAACTCTTTCAAAGCTGATTTTCAAAACGGTTGCGGGGTTGTAGATGCGAAGATCCTTGCTACTTACCAAACGTTTAGGACGCTAACGTTGTCTTTGGAAGATGCAAGTTGGAGAAATTAGGAAGACCCGGGGTACGCGGTCGCCAGGGGTGTTTTCGTGGAAGGGGATTTGATCCTTACGGGGCTGGGTAATGACGTTTGATGAGGATGGTTTTATTTTGCTGAGAATTCTGCCACGATCGTTTGACATTCTGATCGTTGAATATGGTTGACTGTAGTGCTGGGTACTTTTTAGAGAGGTCGTCGGGAGCCGTTGTCTGTAACTTCTCCCACCTGAATGTGAACACGTACTTAGGTCAGTTGCTAGGCTTTAAAAAGTTCGTAATCTTATTATTGTGTATTATCACCAGCCGTGGTGGAAAAACTTTTCCCAGGGAATATTCTGACACCAAGTCTCCTGGTGAAGTTACTTTCTCGTGTAAATGTTGAAGTAGGACTGCTCTCGGTAATAGGCGATGGAGAGGAGCCATATTTGTTGCATGTATAAAAATCTAGGTGGGTTTAAAAACGGAGCAGTGTGAAAAATACAGGTTTCCGGAAATCGCAGAGTTCTCCGCATAGCCTGTAATTTAAAAAAGCGTGTTTGAAGAGGAGTTGAGGTTTAATGGTTTGGAGAAAAATCTAGGAGCGCACCAACCATTGTTTATTGTATAATGTATTTATCTTCATTTTGCAGAGCCTGTGTGTTTTAAAGATGCAGATCTATGTAAAAATATTGTTGGGAAAACTAGCATAGTCATCTGATATCAAAGATACTGGTTTATTTGACCATATTCGAAAGGGTATTTTTTTCTAGTAAAAAAATTTTTTTTGAGTAGGTTTCATGTAGTGATACATATTACATCAGTTGCGCATATCTTGCTTTTACAGACTCTGTTGTTTAACAGTTTTGCTGCTTAAACGTTTTTGAGATGTTTGAACACTGCAGTGGTTTTAAATAGGTATTCAGAATCTAGTTCTTTAGAATCCTTTTCGGACAGTGAAATTCTAAAATAATTGCTACTTGTTTACATCATGAGGTGTTTTTACAAGGTAAATGGGGTAGGAAAAAGACTGAGAATATTGAAGGCTGGTTTAAAATTAAGGTGATAGATACTGCAAGTTTTAGACTTACTCAAAAGAACAAGCTAATATCCCACTGGGTGAGATCAGATAACTTGTGGTTTAAAATTTAAAGTAATCAGTGGCCATTTTAACTTCGCCAGTTTCTCTTGGAGGAGTTAATTTTTAATTGCTCGTAACTATAAAAGGCATCCTTAGATAATCAAGAAAATTTTGGGATGATTACGGTCTTTAAGTGGTAAACTTTTCCTTTGATTTTGTTTATTTCCTGGCATCAAAACAGGAAAAATAAAAGCAAGGTCACGATCTTAAATCTGTCTAAAGACCTGAATTTTCTGTATTTTTTAAAAATCCCAATTCTATGATCTCCAGTATTTGTGAACACATCCAAAAGATGAAGAAAACAAAGACTGATAAAACATTAAAAAAAAAAATTACAACTGCAAATGTACAGGTTGTGTGACTCTGAGCCTTGAAATTTACTCATAGATTTTGTCTTTGGAATATTTTCTCATCGTTTCATCACACAAATTTTGGCCAACAAATACTTAAAAATCAAAACATTGATGTCATCTTCCTTTTTTTTAAAGGTAACTTACAAGATTAAAATTAATTTGGTTGCTGGTGGTTCTGAACCAATATGTACAGCTCTTTTACCCCAGGTAAGAACTGGCAAATTGTTACTTTGACATAAAAATTGCCTTCTTGGGTTTTTGTTTTGCTTTTTGATGATTAATATTTCAAGTAGCAGTGATTATGATTTTTAAAAAGTAGTTCTCTCAAATAAATTTTAAAAGCCTTCCAACCTCTTCATTTAATGAGAAGATTAAAAGTATATATACAGAGCCACTGTATTGTGTAATGTGTCCTTGAATAGTTTAAAATACTGAAAGACTTTTAAGCCTTTGTTTAATTTTGGGAATAGGAAAGCACACTGTATTTTGGGAATAATCTTGGACTAATGGTGTTGTTTGCTTTTATCACCACAGTATGCCATGAGAATGATTCTAAATTCTAAATATTCAAAGAAACACACTTGCTGGAGATAGGAAAGAACATTTTAAATTGACCATGGATTTTAGTATTTTTTCATATAATCAGAAGGTTTTAAAGTATTTATTTCTACTTGATACTTACTGTTCACCAATGAGTTGCTTAGAATATTGTTTGTTTTCCCCAAAAGGTGTATCATTTTGAAGACTGAGACATTGGAGTTTTAACCCTATGGATAAAGAAAATGGTTGGGGAAAGTCTATTTTATATCGCAAGTAAGTAAATAATTTTTTACTCAGCATTGGAACTTTATTAGTTAGCAACATATGCGCAGAAAAATATCACTAAAGTTAGTTGGTGAAACAAACTGGACTGTTTTTATATCTTAAAAGGGGATGAGAAATGATTCATCAAATTCCTTTATCGTACATCAGAACATTTACATTATTATTAAAATTGTCAGTGCAATTTATATTAGCGCAATAGTAAGATATTTAGTATTTTCCAATAAAATAGTACCTTAAAAATCTGGTTAAATCAGTAGCAAAGGTCGAGATTATTGTTTTTCCAGTCTGAAAGGTACATTGTTTATAACCTTTTTTTTTAATGATATAAAAGACATATTAGGAATGGTCTAAATGCACTTGCTGATCGTAGGGTTTTTAAAACTACATTTGACAGTACATTTTCAATACATTTTCATGTCTTGGTTTTGCTAACTGTATTTAAGATGTTTTACCCATCTTAATTAGTTTATGAACTAGAGCAAAAGTGAGTTGTTTTGCAGGTATCTAGAATACTATATTTAGGAGAGTTCTCATTTATAGCTTAGTAATTGCTTCTAAAGGTAGAAGTAATTTTCAAGTACAATAAATATTGGGCTTTAGCATACCATGTGCCCAATATATTAACATCTTAAAACTAGATTCATAAATGAATGCTGATATTTTTAAGGAAATACAGATAAATATAAAGTTAAAACTGAATCTGGAAATTAATGTGAAGTTGTTATTAGTAAGTGATTGGCCAGAAGAAGTATAAATTATAATAAGCAGGTTGGGAAATTTTAAGACTAGGTAAATGACCAATGACTTTACGGGCACGTTAACTTATCTGAAATTATGTGTAGGAAGTACTAACATTAATTGGTATTAGCTGATTCCATTGATTCAAATAGGTGATAAGAATATTTCTATTGCCTTTCTTTGATTTAACTTTTCCTTTTTAATACTTCATGCATTTGATCAAGTTTGTATTTTATTGTGTGCAAAAGAAAATTCAATGTTACACTTTAGCTATAGTGTTTTAAGGATAGGACATACCAAAAAAGTCAGAACATCTTTCATCCCCAAGCTGCTTTAACACAAATGCAAAGATTAGGATGTTCTCTGTGTAGCTGGTAGAGTATTAAGTTGGCATTCATGTGTTGACTCTCTTTAGAAAACTTGAATTTCTTTTTAATGTGAGGCATAATATAAGTTTAAATATTAACAGGTACTATATAATAGCCTATCAGAAGGATGATTTTTTTTTTTCCCCCGGTACCGGGAATCGAACTCACGACCTTGAGCTTGCCAGGCAGGCATGGTGCCACTGAGCTAAATCCCCAGCCCCCAGAAGGATGATTTGATCCATTAAATAACAGAAAAGTAAGGTTGAAGGTTAGAAATTTATAAATGAGAATTTTAATCTTTTTTATCTTAGTATCAAATTTTAAAAATGTTTCAAATGATACAGTAACCTTGTAAATTAAATTTCAGTCTAAAGAAATACAGCTTTTATAACCAACAAGATCAAGGATTACAATAAATCATTTTAGGACAATCCACATGTACTTGGATCTTTATGATAGTGCTTATATTCATTCTTTGATTTTTTTTTTTTTTTTTATTGCATTACCCAGTCTTACGTAGTAGACAAAAATGATTGGCACGTGAAGGCAAATATAAATGCAGATACTACTATACGTAGGTTAAAATTATATTACCTGTAAGGTATACACAATAGATAAGTAGGTACTGTTGTATTGCTTTAAATTATTTTATTTCATAAAAAAAGTTTACTAGTGTTTCTGCTTAACCAAAGCAATAGTTAATTTGTTGCCTTTTGAACTAGCCTAAAAATCTGATCGAATGGTTATTAGGTTGGATTGTATTTAGTATTAAACTTCAAAAAATTCACCTGAGATTCTACAGAAATGAAAGCTGTTCTGTAGCTAAATCACAAGTTTTTTTGAGCCGACATGGCATTTAGAGTCTAGATAATGTGAAATAGGTATTTTTTGATAAAATTTTTTTAGTTTAGTCTACTATTCAGTTTCTTTTTTGTTGTTTTTGAGACAGGTTCTTGCTATATGTAGTTCAGGCTGCTCTGAACTCAACTGTAGCCCAGGCTGACCTTGAGTGGAGGCAATCCACCTGCTTCAGACTCCCCAGTGCTGGGATTACAGGTGTGCACCACAACGCTTAGCATTACTATTTAGTTTCTTGGCTACCTAAAAATTTGACCTATTGACAGTTTATTTTATTCTCCTTTGAGGTTTTTATTGTTCATGTAAGGTAAGAGGAGCAAAGTAATTTGAGGACATGTCTACTGTTTTAATCAGAGGTGTGTGATACAGTAGACTTTAATTCAAGGATGAGTAGCTTCTAATGTAGTAAACAAATCCTACAATATTGACATTTTATTCTGTAGCCCTTCATCTTCTAATTTGTATGAATGCTGTGGGGTTAATAATTTCTTAGGGTCCGTCTTAGCTCTTAAAATGTTAGATATAGGCTGGGCATGGTGGCACGTGCCTGTAATCCCAGCACTCAGGAGGCCGAGGCAGGACAATTGCCATGAGTTCGAGGCCTTCCTGGGCTATACACTGTCTCAGAAAAAAAAGTTGGATATAAATAATGGTAAGTATTAAATTGTCTTATAGGAACTTTGTAATTTTTAAGTTGCAAATCACGTGTTACTTCTGTGGTAGAACTACTAGAATAGTGTAAGGCCTGAGATGATAGTTACTTGATTTTGTTATTGATTTTTAGGTATTCGAGAATGTTAATAAATAGTGTAAATACATATGAAAAAGCAATTGGAGTGTGAGATTGTTTTTATTTTTTTTGTTTGTTTGGTTTTTGTTTTTTTTTTCCAATACTAGAAATTGAACTCATGACCTTGCGTTTACCAGGCAGGCTCTGTGCCGCTGAGCTAAATCTCCAGCCCGGTGAGATTGTTTTTAAACAGTGCAGATTTAGAATATTGCAATAAAAACAATTCTTGATTTTTCTGATTTATTAAATATATCTAATCTAAAGTTGAGCGTATTTTTATGTAATATTTGCAGCTAGCCAAGATTATAAATGAGGATTTGTGGATTGCATGTCTGATATAATCTAATTCCTTGTAAGAAGTTTCTAAGCTTCAGAGAGAAATGTCCTCATTTTACGGCTGCTATCCCCTTCCAGGTTGAAGGCAAACTTTGTTTTTTTGAGACATGGTCTCGCTATGTAGTTCAGGGTGGCCTTGAACTCACTCTAACACAGGCTGGCCTACAACTGTTGGGGATCCTTCTGCCTCGGTCTCTAAAGTCCTGGGATTACAGGCATGTGCCACCATGCCCAGCTAAATGTAAACTTACTTTCAAATTGCCTATTGCTGAATAGCCTGTACAGTTCAAACTAGAGTCTATTTTGAGTCTTATATTTTCAATACAATATGTGCTCACATAACATTTAAGTATCATTAAAATCAAATAAGTTTTGATTTATGCTATATAATCGTCAGTGTGGTGTGTATTTCAGAAAATCCCCTTTATCCTTTGAAACTTATTTATTTGAAATTGAGTATTCCTGAATAATCAATTAAATTTTCAGTATGTATTGTGTAGTAGTCCTAACTCTAGATTACCATGTAGATTCTTTCCCCCTAATAATTTCAAAGCAGTTTTCTTAAAAATGTTACTTTGTCATGACATATCATCACCCTGTTTTTGTGCAAGATTCCTTGTATTTTTACAGTGATCTCAGTTTTTACTTTTTTTTCTTCTTCATTAATGGGCGTTAAGCCTAGGGCCTTCGTATGGAGCTTTGTCCCTAGCTCTTTGTGTTATTTTTTAGAAAGGGTTTTATAAATTTCTAAATTGTCCAGGCTAAAATTTGCAACACTCTTGTCTTAGCCTCCCTGGTTTTAAGTTTTAAAAGTTCTTAAAGAATTAAGAAATGAAGTGACTAAAGCTGTCTTTGCTTTTTTCTTTTTGAGACAGAGTCTTGCTATGCAGTTCAGGATGGCCTAGAGCTCACTTTGTAACCCAGGCTTGTCTCAAACTCGCAACAGTCCTGCCTCAGCCTTTTGAATGCTGGGATTACAGGCATCCGCCACCTCAACTGACTGTCTTTGCCTTTTATTGTTAAAGGGCCAGCAACCAAAATAGTTGTTTACATTTTTCCTATAGTCTTACTATTAAATCACAAATAATATTGTAAAATACTTAGGATAGGTAGAAACATGAACAGAATTACTAATTTTCTTCTCCTGTTCTTTTTTTTAATGTGGTGCTGGAGATTGAACTGAGGGCCTGTGCAGGCAAGGCAGGAGCTCTACCGTTGAGCTGTATCCTCAGCCTGGTTTTCATAATTGCTTTAAGCTAAACTCTGCTCTCTCATTCCCAGTTTAAAAATGTGGCCAAGTGCTATTTCACATTGGGTCAGCTTTGGGACAGGAGAGGATATGGTGGATTATATTGCTAACAGAAGTATTTTTGGTGATGCAGAGTAAGATCCAAGTCTTTTCTGTTTGTAGCTATGAGAACGGATACTGGTAGATAACTTAAAGCACATCAGACCAGTGTAAGTGGGTTCCCTAGACATTCTCCCTCGTGTGTCCCTTTGATAGTGCAGTTGGGACAGCAGAGGACTGTAGGCTTCCTTCACCAGGATTCCTTTCCTCAGTGCTACCCTCCTCTTAGGAGTTAAGTCAGTTTATTTTACTTGGTTGGGTAAAACTTGTCTGTTCACAAAATCTTCCTTTCCCTGTAAGGTCAGGTTAAATTCAGAAGTTAAAAAATGTGTTACCTTATTTGTTAACTGGAAGATATTTCAGTACCTATTCTTCAGTTTTAAAGCAGATCTTTGTTTCTTGGTGAAGATTTGTCAAAATGGCTGAATGAATTTAGCTTTTGTTGGCTGGGCATGGTGGCGCACATGCCTGTAATCCCAGCACTTGGGAGGCTGAGGCAGGAGGATCTTTGCAAGTTCGAGTGGGCTACAAAATGAGCTCAAGGCCAGCCTGCGTTGCATAGCTAAACCCTGTCTCAGAAAGAAAAAAGGAAAGAACTTAGCTTTTATAAGATAAAACAGGGACTTGTTCTTTAATCTGAAAGCTGGTCTTAACAAAAGCAGTTTTATAGCTTAAGTTAAATCCTGAACTTCACAGGTGTTTTTTTGCTTTCTGAAATTTTATTCACCTGGAAATTTTATTCATTTTTATTTTTTTATTTTATTTTATTTTTTTTTAATGGGAAAGGTTTATTTAGTTCACAGTTTGTAGAAGTCTCAGTTCAGGGTGATTCCGGTTCAAGGTGGAGGTGAAGGAGAACAAAAGCAAAAGTAGGGGGAATCATCTGGGGCTTCGAGACAGCTTAGTAAAACATTTTTTCCCCGAACCTAGGGTCTCACCTGTACTAGGCAAGCACTCTACCACTGAGCTGTGTCCATCCCCAACCTTCTCAATACATATTGCTGTGATTATTGTAGTTGTGCTTACAGTAGTGACTAAAAGAGTTTGTGTATATTTAGGAGATAGGTAAGATAAGAAAACACTTCTTGGTATTTAGTAACCAGGTATTTTGAGTCTAGTGTAAAATAGGTAAAATAGTTTTCGTTTTTACTAAGTATACATTTTAGAGAGCATTTGTATTACCTTAGTTGAATAGATCAGTGCAATTAATAGTTGTGAATGAAGCTCAGTGTTTTCTTTCAAGTACTTTACCTCAGCAGTATTGATAAGATTATGTATGTTATGTTGATTATAGCACATGATAATGTGAGGAAATACGGTAAAGCTGAAAGAGCAAGCTTGCAGGGGAGAATGATGACTTTCTTTTAGAAGGCTTGAAACTGGATTAGATGGAAGACCACAGATGAAATAAAATTCTGTATTGTTACAAGTGATGTTGGATTTTTTACAACAGGGGTTGCTCATCAATTCTACCCAGGGAGCCCAGATATTTATGTGTTTACTCCTTTGGAGTTTCAGGGCCTGAGACAGTATGTGATTTTAATAGTAACTTACTCTGGATATGAGCCTCTTCACCTGCCAAATTTAAGATCCTTTTGGGGCTTTTTGGTCTTTCTTTGGGTCATGTTGTTTATAAATATCTCTCTCTCTTTGGTCTGTTGGTGAATGATTCTTACAAGATGTTGAAGTTTTGGTAAAATAATGGTGTTTAATCTATTTTTTGTCATTTCTTATGCATACCATTATATTTGTTTTGTCTTGTACAGAAATGTGAATCCCTAGACTGATAATCTAGAGGGCCTGTGCAGTACAGCAAACCTTGGGAGCAGTAAGTATTATCCAGTTTCCATGTTTTTGTAAATGTGACTGGGAAGTTTGAGTAATTGAGTTGGAGTTGTGAAAAGGTAGAGTGAGTAGTGAAGCTTAGAACAGTACTGGGACATCAGCCTGCTTAGGTCTGTAGTAAGTTCATTAATCACAGCTTGTTTATTCATTTACTTTGCCTACTTCTGTTTCTTTCACTTCAACTCACAGAGAATGAAAATGCAAAACCAACCCACAATGGGGCATCATCCTAACACTCTCCATAGGATCTGGATGTTGGGAACTCCCCTTTGTTTTTACAAGTACACATTTTTTGTGGCACATCTGTATTATTTAATACAGATGTTTTGTGGTTGTCTTCCCACCACAGTTTGAAGAGTTGAGAGTAGTTGTAGCAAATAGCTGTGTAGCTTAAAAATTTCATTGTGTGGTTCCCTAAGGAAAGTTTGCTGAGCCTTGGTTCTAGATCTGTCCTGGTTGTTACTCATACCATACCAGCATAGAAATCAGTAGCTGTTGGGGTCTCCATTTGCTAATAAAATATACTTTTGATGATTTCTAATGTTGAGATTACCTCTAATAAATTAAGTAACTTAGAACTTTCTTATGCTTGGAGGCCCAACAAAAAGGTCTTCACTCTGGTTGACACTGATGTTATGATTTGATATTAGAAGAGGTGTTAACTGCCACCACTATTTAATAGCTTCTGTAACTCCAAACCTGAGAAATAATGGGAGTGAATAGGATGGGAAGGTTGTTTATAAATGAATTCAGTTGAATTCTCTAAAGGATTTTATTATTGGCAGAACTTTTTTGGTAATTGCTTTTTAGTGTTTTATCAGAGTGATTCTTTTTGAAACATTTGGGAATTTCTATTTTAGGTGATTATTTATCTCTGCCTTAACATCCATAGTATAAATGGCTTCTAGCGCCTGCAGAGTAGAAGTTCCTTTGCTTCTTGATGAGGGAGGGTAAGTAGAGCTGAGAACTTCCCTAATGTAGTGCAGGTCGTAGTCTCATGTCTGAGCGTATTTAAAAGAGGTTAGTTGCCTAGCACATGGTAGGTGCTCAAGAAATACTTAACTAATTTATTGTAGCTTCTGTTTTTTTTTCTGGTATTGGGAATCAAACTCATGACCTCGTGCTGGCCAGGCAGGCGCTGTGCCGCTGAGCTAAATCCCCCAGCCCCAATATATTGTAGCTTCTCTTAACATTGTTTACTAAATAGTGATTTGGGTCTAATGAAAAGTAAAGTAAAGATGCAAGTTTTAATATGTTAAATACCAATATTCTGTTGGAAGGTTGAAATTTTTCTCAGTAAAAATTAAATGTGACAAGGTCTTGCTATCTTTCTTTTTCCTCCCTCCCTCTGGAAAACCTCAGTCTCTATGTAGTCAGTCTTGAAACCAATAAGGACAAGTGGGAAGATTTAATTTCACTGTAAAACCTTAGAAAAGTGATTCCTTGTCTTGGTTAACATAATGATTTTGTTCTCTCAGTGATGAATAATTGGCTGGTCTTTTTCAAATTATTTTATAGTTTTTATGCCTATCTTGTTTGAGATCTGTTAACATGTATTGAGGATTCATGCTATTTTTTAAAGACAAGTATGTTAGTTTATTTTTCTAGAATATTTTACACAAATATTTTTCAGATGTAAAGACAATATTTACGGAGAACATTGACATCGAGATGTAATCACCAAGAATCCAAATTACATGATGGAAAGGATGAATTTTCATTCTAGAGCATAATTTTCAGTCTGTCCTGTTGGTTTTGAAATAAGTGTTTAAGTTTTAAAATAATACAGGTTACATCAATACTAGTTTTTTATAGCCAGCCATTTAAAAATTTAAGGATTATTTCTTATGCTTCTCTCTGCTCCCCCTTTTTTCCTGTGACAAATGGGAAAGTTTGCTGAGAAGGGGGTAAGATGATTTTAGAGGAGCACTTCTTAAACCCAGTCTAGATGATGTAGCATTTGCCTACATTTCATTTTACAGTGTATTTTATAATGTCCTAGTGTTTTTGGAACAACTTCCCTGAAGTAGAATTTGAAGGGAAGACTCGATGCTTAATTTTATGTTCTTAATGGATGGGGATTAGAGGAGGTAACAGTTACTCACTATCCTGTTGCCTTCAAGCTTTTACCTTTGCTATGGGATTGTTCTAAGAACAATCGTATATTATCTAAAAAGAAAGTATAAACTACTATCAAAGTGGGAAAATTCTAACCAAGGGCTTGAGCCTCATGTGAAACACAAGATCTAGATCTGTTCGGCTTTTGGAATTGTAGATCAAAGCATCATCTGTTCAATGTGTCTTCAGTAATTCGCAAGGAGAAGGAAGCAGAATAAGACATGGATATCTAGGAACTATCCAAGGGTGTCTGTTTTTTTGGTAGGATGGTTTTATTTTAATGCAATACTAAATTTTTAAAATTAGAGAGTGTTTATTAAATAACTGGACCCCATGACTCCATGTGTTCTTTAAAGATAGGCTTACTATTGAAATACAAATGATTTTTGATTCAGTGAGGTTAGTGTGAGGTCCCGAGGCACTTTGGTTATTGTGGTATTGGAAGGCTAGTCAACATTTGTTGATCTTCCTTATATGCCTGGTAATATATGTATGAATATGCTCATTTAATACTCTACTGCCACAAGAGGTAGGTACTATGACTGTTTCACAGATGAAGAACTGCGGATGTTAAAAAAAAAAAAAGAACTGTGGATGTTGTTAGTAAGAAAATTTTACGGCTCACAGAATTCATGCCTTTTTGTTTTTTAACAAAACTTTGTGTATTGGCAAATTTGTTTTTGATAAGAATTTGGAACTCTATGAGTGCAGATGGATTGCTCTTAAATCCTTCACTGGTCCTGACCAAGTACTTTTGCGTATTATAGTAAAATTTTCATTTTTGGCTTTGGACTGGGTTTGGAGAAGTTCAGATTGATTATGACTTTTCTGTATCATAAGAGTCGTCTACTTTCTCGTTTGTTTGTTTTTTTGTCTTTTTGAGACAGGTTCTCTCTATGCAGTTCAGGCTGGCTCACTTTGTGAGCCCAGGCTGGTCTCGAACTCGCAATGATCCTCCTGCCTCAGGCTCTAGGGTGCTGGGATTACAGGCGTGTGCCAGCATGCCCAGCTACTCATCTACTTTCTCTTGTGGCATTATTTTTCTACCCTTTTAAAAAACAAATACATGACAGCATAACAAATATGCTGTTTTCTAATCTCTATTGTCATACGTACCAATGCAATTTTTGAATAATTTTGGAATGATTCTAATGTTATTAGCATTTTTTTAAATAATGGTTTTAGAAGGCAATTTCATATGTTCTGTTGGTGCTCTTGAACCTTTAGAGGTTTCAGTGATACAAACAGCTCATTGTGACACATGTGCCATAGGTTTGCCACCATTGTTCTAGGTAAAATGTTTACTTTTCTTCCATGGCAGAAGAATATAAAGCACTGATATATCATTTCATATACCACATTACACCAGTAGCTACCAAAGTGACTTACTTGGCTATTGATGTATTTCTAGTGTCATTGTTCATCAAAATGATGTATATATATCACCAACATCATTTAAAGGGTGATCTTACATTGTAACAATAGAGATTTGAGATTTAGATTATATTTGACGTATGTTCTTAAAATACCATAATTTCTTTTATGAAAAGACTGAGGCACAATGGAAGATATTTTACTGATAGAAGAAATCTGGGTTATTTAATTCTCATATTAAGATTGGGAAGAAATCTGCAAAATCTGTTAAGGAGAAATATCTTGCTTTTGATGTTCAGGTGATAATTGTGACACTCCTTTTCAGTTAGCGCTGTTTAATAGGGGTGCAGCAGTATCTTTGGGTAACCAAATAGTTCATTAAGTAGATTTTTTGTTGTATGTACTAGCAATATGTCTTGATTACAGTCAAGGAGACAAAGTAAGAGCTAAAATACCCTTATATTTACGTTTATCTCCAAGTTAGTCACTTGGAGTATATCTCTACAAATTGAATTGGAGAATTCATATAGAGAAGACCAGGGTTAAAAGTTGTTTTTGCAATTATGTATGTTTCATCATGTTGAATCCACCTTTCACTTAGTGGTAAAATCACCTAGCTTCAAACTTTGCCCTGCAGTGTAGATTATTGAAAAAGATTTATTTTTCTTTGAGGAATATATGAAATTGGGGCAGGAGATTATTTTAGTTGTATGAAATTTGAAAAGTCATAGCATTTTATAGTAAATACCAAATAAGACAGACAGATATTTTGCATTTTTCATAATTGATTTTTCCACTGAAGATTTCACATTTTCTGCAGTTCTCAGATAATATAAGTAAAGGTGATGCCATCTATACTATATAGGTCTGCTGTGTTATCTGATCAAAATTGTCATGTTAGACTGGAGAAATATGCAGTGATCTAGTGCATTATTTTTTTAAAAATCCCTTAAGACTCTTTGTCATAATTTTCTTTGAGCTTGGAAACTTTGATGTATTGAGATTTAGAATCTGCAGTGTTTCTGTAAGTAAGCTTTCCAGGAATTTTAAAGTTTTGTTTTTGCTTTGCATATATGTAATATGAAGATGCTAGTGTTAAGTATTAAAAATTTGATTCTTCACTGACACTTTTATGGATACAAATGTGTCTGTGACAAGAGTGTTACTTGTATGCAGTCTTTGATTGGATCTTTGAGAAGTTGTAAATGTGTCTGCATTGCAAACAACTTTTAATATAGTTGGATAGTTGAAAGCTGTTACACGATAAAAGTTTGGTATATGGTAGGGTATCTTCAATGTGGGTGGATGTTTTTGGTTTGAAGGCATAAGATTATTGGCATTCCAACAGCATTTTTTTTCTTTTAATTTTTTTTATCAAGCACCCAGTCAGCTTGAAGAGTCTCAAAAGGACCCTACCACTGAGAAACCAAGATGGCATCCACTATGGGGAGTTGAGGAAATGGATTAATACAAGAGTGCTGTGATAAAATACCACCAAGACAGGGTTCTTTTAACATGGATTCAGTGAAGTGAATGAAACCTATCTTACCCAAGAAATGGACAGTGGATTTGACTTTCTAAAGACTTTCATATCATTTATACTAGTTCATTTTTGACATTTGGAGAAGAAAGATGGCACGCTAACACAAATGATAGTGTGTATGCCTGAATTTTTTTTTCATGATTTGCTTGAATATGACCTCATGGAATGTTAACTTCAATAAAATTTCTAACATTTAAAACATTTCTCAGTTTGGGCCTTGTTTTTTTTTCAAGTGGAAGTTTCATTAAATGTTCAATTGTCACCTTGATAACACTTTAATTCTTACAGTTTCCCAGCAGTGTACTCAATAAAACTAGTAACATGGAAATGATATGTTGGAATATGTTTCACTTGCTTGATAAAGACTTACATTTTCTCACAAAGCTGTGGGAATTTATCTTTGCTTTGGGATGGTTATTAGGTTTAAGTGTGATTCTGTTCAGGTTTGTTTTAAGTTTTGAATGAATTACCTTAAATTTTTCTTTGTGCTGTCTTGAAACACCTTGCAAAACAACTTAACGAGTGGGTAATAATAGGAGCTCTTAATCTACCATGAGATTTAATGAACTTTTAAAGCAGTATGTTTCGTTGCCTTCAAACTCAGGATGATACAGTATTTGTCTGAATAACTTTGAGTTGATGGAAATGGTCTCCTTTACCTGTACTTTTAATATTATAAATAAAATATCTTGCAAGGGAATATTTATTTGAATATTTCAACTTACATCTCTTTTCTCAATGTTAGGAGAAGAAATGTCGTATTTATAGGGATGTGTCCTTAGGGTATACACAAGCTAGCTTGTATCTTTGGTGAGAATGATGACTTTAATACATTGTATTTACATTTGAAACAGGATTTGTATCTTATATTTTCCTTACTGGGAATTTAGAATAATTGAATTACACCATGCCATAGAATACTACCAGTGTTTTAATTTTAATTGCTCGACTTTGATTTTTTACTGATCACCTAATACCGGTTTCAGTAGCTGTGGTAAAGATGGTAGGCTTTGATAGACCAGACAGAGCATTGGTGGTATTTTCCAATTTTATAGAGAACCGAGAATAATTCAAGTTAATTTGTTACTACTTTGCTAGAAATAAACATACTGTGTGATAATGTAAATACAGTACCGTAGTGTGCACATCCATGGTCAATATATTCGTGGTGTTTTTTCTTATTGATGGATGTTTTGTGGTTGGTTGATCGTCATATAAATTCAAAAGAGGAATTTTGGATTTTGATCTGATATAAAAGTTATGGAATTTAAACAGTTTTGATTATGGTTTAATATTTACTAGGGTCAACATCTTTGCTTTTGTTGGTTGCAGATCTACAATGGATTGGCTTAGAGTGGGAATGGCACATTTGTGATAGATTATAACCCTAAGTAAGAAAAGATGGTTGGATTTTTAGAGCGTGTGAATGAATGTTTACTCCTCTGTATGGGTGTTTGATAAGGACTTTTGAGTAATTGTTTTTGGCATTGGTTTTGATCTTTGGAAGACTTTTCTCTGTGACATTACTTTGATAATTTGCTGTCAGACTACCTATTGCTAATAATGTATCATTGTTGAAATTGGTATATAGAGTTTGAGTTGAAACATGAGGGAAGGGTTGGAATGGGTGTTCTGTTGGTTTTGGAGGTGGAGTTTCTTGGGTTTCTGATTTTGAAGGTTATTCTGGTTGGACTGTACACTTGAGTTTGAAGACCTTTGTTTTGCTTAAATCTGTATGATTATGAAATCATTGGTGGTTTTTCCAAGATTGTATAATGGGTTAAAGAATTTTGTAGAAGTGAAAAGATGCACTGAATTTCTTGAAAAAACGGGTTGTGTTAACTTTTGCCCTAATGCAACTGAACACTAGGGAGGCGCTCTTGAGTTGTAAAATTTACCCCTTTCTTCCACTTGGGATGGAAAATTCCTCCTTAAATTTTGTCTTTAGATGATTTTTAAGCAACATAAAGAAAGCAGACCATGAATTTAATTTATGAAACCGGGTTTGCTTTTATTTAGATGCTATTTTGCCCTTTGGGGGGCTAATTTTTTAAGAGGTTAGTACTTAATCTAAGCTTTAGATTTTCTAAGAATTATCCCCATTTCAAAATGGCTTGATAGAACACCACTTCCTGTCCAGGGAGGAAGTTATTTTAGCTCAAGGACTGAAATATTTAGCAGATCTTTAGACAAAAGGAACAAATTACATTTTTCTCTGGCTTAAAAAGGGTGCTTGAGCCAGAGGGGGTTAAGAAGCCCTTCCCCCTCCCTCTGATGGGGTGGTCTGGAGGGGCAGGGAGGTGTGGGGGTGGGGGTCTTTAGGCTCCCTGGGATGGAGGATCTTTTTTTTTTTTTTTTTTTTGGTGGAGATGAAGGGGTGGGTCTATGGTACATCACCTGAGTTGTGGGGTAAATGTAGAGAGTGTCAATCAAAGGCAGAGCTCTCAGAGCTGGGAAGGAGGCTCTAGATGGCGGCTGTGCCTTAGAGAGAGCGCGCTCTGCTCCCTGCCTTTGCCTCACTTTACGCAACTTTCCCTAACTTTCTGGCAGCCTCAGGGGGCCCCCGCAGCCCCCTGCCTCTCCTAGTGACTTACTGGGGTCGATTTGAACCTTTTTAAGGGAGAAAAGCAGCTTTTGGGAGCTTTCTTTTCGTGCCTTGTTGGAAAGAAGCAGCCGTACTGAGAGCCCAGGTCGTTGTTTTTTCCAGCTTAGAAGCCATGGCGCACCTCCATTTTTGTGCGCTCTCTTAATGAGGTTTTTTTTCTTCCGGACCCTTTTTAGTTTTAATTATTGTTTTATTTTTTGACCAGTTAACATATTTGAAGATTATTTTATTTATTTTTAGTTTTTTTACCGGAGGATTTTGCCTTTATTTTTAATTATTTTGGATCTGATATTATTCTACCACTAGCTAGGACTCTTGCTTTGGACATACTACATGGATCAGGTAAGTTCACTATCATTAGTGATAATTTCAAAGATTTATATGTTAAAGTTTGCTTTATTTTTTTTAAATATGAGAAATTCCTGGATGACGCAATAAGATACAGATATTGTTATTTGTGTCCACTGTGCTACTTTGAGAAACTTTCCTTATTGATAGTGATGCTTCCACTGTTTGGCTTCTCCTGGTTTTTTTTTTGCGGGGGGAAATAGGAATATTTTGTTTTCGTGCTTTCCGTTGTTGTGTTATATTAATATCCTTAACATTGCCAGGACTTTGTTCATGATACTAAAAACCATCCTTAGAAACCGGGATCTTACCTTTCTTTCAACTTTTGACAGTAAATACCTGGGCACAGGACTTCAAAGCAAACACAGATTCCCCCTCCCCCCTTAATATTTAAGAATTAAAAGATGATGAGAAATAAGGACAAAAGCCAAGAGGAGGACAGTTCGCTACACAGCAATGTATCGAGGTATGAGCTATCAACTTTCTGCCTTTTTGTCTTTTTTGGGGGGGGAAACCTCAGCTTACAATTGTTTACCTTGACAGACATAGATTCCTGTCTGTGTTATTCTAAGTATTTTTCTAATTTCTAGTTTTTTAAAAGCGTGACCTTGAGATTGCTAATATGCCACACCCTAATTTTTTGGTAGCAATTTATGAAAGTTGAGTTGTGACTTAAGGCCTCTTACAGCAGTCAAAAGCTAAGGTACCTTTATTCAAAGGGGCCTTTGCTATTAACTACAGTTTTTCTGTCAGTAAATTTCAGGTTTTAGGTTTTTGTGCTGCAGAAAAATGACCTTGTCGGTTTAGCCATTGCTGCATTGCACCATTTTACATACAAGGCAAATTTTTTCTTTGAAGAATCTCAGACATCCAAACTTGTAACTGAGGGCCATAGAGGAGCCTTGTAGTAGTAAATTATAGTAAATAGACATTTGAGAAAGTTATATGAATGAAAAAATGTACATTTAAAAATGAAATTGCAAAAAACACCCTTTGACTGATGCCTCTCAGTTTATATTTTTATTGACTCTCTATTTCTTTTGATATACTTGACATTTTAGGAAATTTTGATGATTTGTCAAAACCTTTACTTGGTTACAGTGCCTGAATTTATGAAATCAAACCTGTAATCACAGAAATCCTGGAATGCTGTTTAATACACGTCTGTTTTGTTTTTTTTAAACTGTGATTATATTTATAATTGTATGTTTTACGTTTAAACATAATTTCAAGGTTTGTATTTGTATGTTTATATTGGGATAGAGCTCTGTGAATGACAGATAATAGTATTTTATTTTTGCATTTTAGTTGTTGGTGCTTTAAATTTATTGATTTATTTCGACAGAGTCCCCCGGAATGCTTTACCTTCTGAAGCTTACAAATGTACTTTGTTCAAGTCATGATTTGTTTCACATTCCTTGGAGTAGCTTATTAGTGACTTAAGTAATAAAGCCTCTAAGATATTTTTGTTGTATGATTTCTGTATTTTAATTTAAAAAGTGTATAAATGCATTTCTTGATGTATTCTTGTTATAAATCTTAAATTAATAAGCATGTGATCGGTTATGTCATTTTCAGTTTTGATTTTTTTCATTTTCTATGAAAAGAATTGTTAGGCTAGTGAAATTTGGAAGCTTTGAGTATAGTTTGTTACAAAGGTTTAATTTTGACTAAAAATATTTTGAGCCTTGATTTTAAAAATATACTCCCAAGTTCTGTTGCTAATTGAGTTGTCAAACAGTTTGGATGTTTTCTGCCTGAATTTCCCAAGTAATTACTAGGTTATATATAGGACAAAAAACTTCCTGCTAATGCTAAACTGATTTTTTTCTGGAAAGTAACAGTTTCAAGAAATAGAAAACCCCAGATACATTTGACAAATTATTAAAAGGTTTACTATTAAGATCATTACTTCCTTGAGTTTATGATTTGCATAGCCTCACATGGTTTTGGCTTTCTATGCAAGATTTGTGGTTAACTTCGTTTTTCAGACCGTGCTTTCTTAACTTAATAGAGCAGTGCTATTACTTTCCTAGTATTTTTACTCTTTTGGGAAACTCCTTAGACGTTGTCACCCGTTTGACTATTCAGTGGAGTACAGCAGAACATGAAGCATGCTTTTAAATGCCTTTTTGCCAAGTATACTTTGAGTCATGTACCTGATGAATGTCCAGAAATACTTGAGACTCCTTGAAGATGGAGTTACTTTTAAATTACTCCCACTCTGAGTTGCATACATTATTAATACATGTACATAATTATGACATCACTTTTAAGATTGTAAAGCCTAAAGGATGTTACATATGCTGTTTTAATGTAGTCAGTTGTTAAACTTGCAGAGAGCTGAAAGTGAGAGGGCTGACACTATCTGGTGCTTGTGTCATCAATTTTTCTGTAAGGACCTAAGTTTTAATTGCACAGAGACTAGTGTTTAGGGCATACTACAAAAATCGCCTTGCAGCCTGAGCCTAAAGAGAGGAGTTTGTAGGTCAGGTAAACTTCAGTCTGAGAAGTATTTTAGGAAATAGAATGAGTGCAAGTTTCAAGTAAAATGTTGTCAGGTTTTTGGAGCTAGTGCAGTACTTAAAAGTGGTTATGTAAGTTTGTATTCTTTTGACGTTAATGGTTAGGTCTCGTGTTCTCTGTATATCACTTTTTAAATATTAAAGTTTACTTCCAAAAGGGCTTTTAAAAATTGGGTATTTCTAAACACGTAAACCACTTTTAGTGATGGACATGTCGCCACACATTTTACGTAAATTTGCAGCTTGAGCCTAACGTGAGGAATATCAAAGAATGGCAACTGGGGAGAAGCAAACGTGCGTGGAACTTTGTGTGCCCAGAGTTCTGTGTGTTCTAGGACGCTACGCTTGCAATTTAAACCGCTGATTAAATTTATCTCCAAATTGCCTTCGAGCTAGGTTTGATAACTTGAGGTGTGGGCACGGTGCCTCGCCTTTTCTGGGCCTTTTAGCCGATATTCTCAAAGGCTGGGTAGAAGTGGCTTAGGGCAGTGCTTGTGGAGTGGGACGGGGAGTGTAAGTGGCAGCCATTTTATGACGCTGATAATACTTTAAAAATCGGGAATTTTGAGGAGGCTGAAAATAAACGAATCGAAACCTGAAGTCCAAAACATTTTTACTTTGTTTCGCCCCTTTTTTGTGCTGTGGGACAAAATAAAGGGCAGCTCGATAAATTAGCACAGGCAACACCTCTGAGCCCTTGGCATCTTGGTGTAGGTCCAGCTCAGTCACAAAATGGCTGTTCCTTTGTGCCGCAGCGCTGACAGACATACTGCATTGCACTGTGTACTCGCCAAACAGCAGGAAGTTGCCGTGCGGAGTTCAAAGGCCGGCCGGCGCCGGCGCAGGCAGCTGATTGGCTTAGCGCGCGCCTGGTAACAGCCGGGTCAACAGCGGCGCCTTCAGACTGGGCCCGCCCCGTGACGTCAGCCGCCACGCCGCGGGGCGGGTAGAACGCAATGACGTTGGGCCGCATGCGCGCGTTGGGCGCGTCGGGACGGGAAGGAGGCTCCGGTGCTTTCCGGCGGGCGATGTTTTTTTGGATGCAGTGGTTGGCAGTGCTCTGCTGGTCGTGCAGTGCCCACACCCTACGGGTTGATTTCCTTTGCTCATCCCTGGGAATAGTTTTCCTCTTTCAGTAGTAGTTTCTACTTTTAAAGAGAAAAGGCACGAATCGGAAATTTTCGAGTAGAAAACCTGCTGGCTTAAAACCAGTTTTCGCTTTCCCTTCTAACCCAGTGGGTTTTTTTTTTACTGTTCACTTACTTGTTCTGTATGAAGAGATTAGTGAGTGTGATTTTGTTACTGTTGACCCAGTGGTTTCAGTGCGAGGGGCGTTACTCGGTAATGAACGCCGCGGGCGTTAATAACCCATGGCTCCTAGGGCAGGGCGAGCTGATCTGAACCTGATCCCGTGCGCTTTTACGTGGTACCTTACGTTTTCTCACTGGGCGCTTGATGGAGAAACTCAGGTCAGTATGTGTTTAGTGCCTTACGTGTAAGCGTCTCGCAGTGGTGTAAAGGAAGGATTCACCGTGGGATAGAAAAGAGCCCTCTTCAGTTCAGTAACTGAAAAGTGGGAAACGAGCGCTAGGCGTGCATACCTATGCAAAGTGATGTCAGCCGAGGGCTTTGAAGGTTAATGGCCCTCGCTGGAGACCGAGTGGCCTCTGAGCTCTGGCAGAGTGGGGAGCGGCTGAGTCAGGGAAACCTCAGCGCAGTCACCTGATCCCGCCCGGTTGCGGGTGCCCGGGGCCGCATCGTTGGGAAACCCTGGCAAGGATTCTAGGTTTTAAGAACGATGCCTACGTAATTAAGTCACAAGTAACAAATTTAAGCGCGAAGGGAGCCTCTGCGCATCTCTGTGCTGGTCACTGGCAAGTTTTCTCCTGCTTGGTTCGATTATATTTCGGCAGAAGCCAAGCTGTGGTATAAAAGGCCCTAGTTCAGAGTTATGTTATTAAAAAAGTTGAGTAAAATACCTTTAAAAGATACGAGGGCTGGGGCTGGGGATATAGCTCAGTGGCACAGCGCCTGTCTGTAAGTGCAAGGTCGTGAGTTCAATTCCCGGTACTGGGGAAAAAAAAAAAAACAGGAAAAAAAAAAAAAGATATGCGGACTTTTTGAATGTAGGCAGAGATGCTTTCTTGGGCATATCTGAAAATTTCTGAGCAAGTGTGAAAAATAGTGAAAGTAGTCACTATAATGGTTGTGTTGATTCTCACAGTGTAGGTTCATTGAGAGAAATTCTTTGGAAAACTAATGCGAAGTAGCTGAAACTTGTTACAGGCAAGATTTACACCAAAGATTAGTGATCAAAAAAAAAAAGATTAGTAATTTAAAAAACTTTGCCTAACTCAGTATTCTGTGTATTTAACATCCATTAAGACGTAATTTTAAAAGTTTGATGAGCATTAATTGTGGTTTCTAACATACTAAACTTATCTCCCAGGGTTTTTAACCCTTTCCCAGTATTGAAACTGAATTCTACTTGCATTTAAATTTTTAGTATTTCCTAAATGCACTTAAATCCCCGACTGTGGGATAGAATGTAAGTCAGCTTTGCTGTTACGTTTAGAGGTTATAAATTGTTGTACCCTATGGAAGATGTATTATCATATAGGAGTTATGAATGAGTTAAAATGCGTATCAGATTCAGCAATTTATCTGTGCACTGTTTGCAGTCTGTGGAGAGCCAATTAACATAAAAACTTTTTAAAGGTCTATTTATTGACTTTTCCTGTTTTTTTTTTTTTTTTTTAATGCTTTGGAGAATGGTATGAAGCTACCAAAAGAGTGTTGATTAATCTTTTTGTATGTGTATTCTTGTTTAAAACTTGCAGTTTCCAATTGTTACTTTGCTCTTCTGTGGTTAGCATCTTTTGTAAAGATTAAGTCAGCAGAGGAAAGGGGCAAACAGTATTCATTAAGGAGTTTTATTAAT